TGGCACCAGGATTCAATATGCGATATATATATATATATATATATATATATATATATATATATATATATGTGTGTGTGTGTGTGTGTGTATAAATAAAAGAAAGAACAGTAAGATATAATCTTACATCCCTACCCCTACCAAAATGTAGCTAATGAGCGATACAATGATGCAGACATAAGGAAAACCCAGATACCCCTTGTCCAATAGAAGTAGATTTATCTGTAACCATGGAAACGTGATTTTAGCTGTGTCTTTAAAACCCAGTAATTTTAAAAGTTACTCCAAAATTCGCTTGAGGATGAAATGGAACTAATGTCTTTAATTTAATTGCAAAATTAAATTCGAGTCTTTTAGCTTTCATTTTTGAAACATGGTTAGAACTGTGTAGCGAAAAAAAACATATTTTAAATCAATTAATTTTATATATATATATATATATATATATATATTAAAACTGTAAACTAACTATGCGTTTAAATTCTCGGTCGTACCCTTAAAACATTTGGACATACCTCATGTTAAATTTTGAATCAATATGACGTAAAGTTCCCTACAAATAGATATAATATTTCAGTACCAATGTTGATAATATAATTGCTTCTCCCAGATATTAGAATTATAATATTACACTCATTCTAGCCATTTACTTAAGGTAGTTATTAATGGCCGGATCCCCGGCGACCTGATGGTCAACGCAGGTGTCCCCCAGGGGTCTCTCCTCGGACCAACCCTCTTTTTGATCTGCATAAATGATCTGCGTAAGAATATACTCAGATCATCTATAAACATCTATACCGATGATAGGACTATATACAGGCGCCAATCTCGATGGTCCGAAATTGGCGACTGAGCTTTTTTTTTTTTTCCTGATCTTGTCCAAACTACCCCACGGGGTGAAAACGGGCTGGTTACATACATTATCCTCGAAAAGCAAGCTAGTTACAATCCATCATCGCCGATATGACCTCGAAATACCACCAATCAGGATGTGTGGCGGTCCTCTCTGGAAAGCCCTTTGCCTTGAAAGACCGTTGGGCCTCAAAATCCTACCCGATCTCAAGTGGAACTCGAACATGCGATCCTTTGCTAAGGATGCAAGTGAAATAGTTGGTTCCCTGTACCGCTCCTGTACGTACCTGGCTTTTGCCATCCTCTACTTTTACAAGAGCCAGATAAGGCCAAAGATGGGGCACTGGTGTCATATTTGGTCTCACTCTCCAGCCTTGATAGTGTCCAAAAGTGTCTCCGAGCCATTGCGGGTGACCAATAATTCTCCACCCTTCAACCTCTCTCCCATAGGCAAGATGTGATAAGCCTCTCATTGATCTATCATTATTTTCACAGAAAGTGCTTGAACGAACTATAGTCCTTGTTCTGCCAAGTCAAGCCTTCACGGCAAGAAAACACTGCCACTTACGTAGTAGCAAACCAACTACATTCCCTTTGTATTCCGTCGCTGAGAAGTAAGTTCCACTCGAGCAGCGTTTTCCAATGCTCTGTAGAAGCGACTCACAACAGGATTTTTTCCCCATCATGATAATCTTAACTTGTTCAAGGCTAGGGTTAATCGTTATCTTGCACTTCTATACGCACAAATTTCACTCTAACCTATCTACTTCGAGTGGCCCCCTGGGCTTTGTAAAGTGTGAATCATGCTATAAAATAAAAAAATAACTCATGGCGTTATGTTTAAGATTCATTAAGTAATCATATTTTTCGTGTCCACTGATGGTTAATGTATATTGGAAGCAACGCTGATAGAGAAGGAAGCGGGAAACCAATCTGAAATCTTTATCCCAGGAATGCATGACAATTCACAGACACTCTGTTGCGTTTAGTTTCGCAGAAATGCTCTTTGGTAAGGCATTAATCTATATCTTCTGCTTCCAGCTTTCTGTTAAGTACCATAGTAGAGCAGGAATCAGACTAGGCAACAACCATTCTAAAAGAAATTGATATCCGAATTTGAAACTGCTGAGAAAGGGATATGAAACCACTCCACAATATTTCCCAAGAAGTCATAGTAATTCACAGATAATAAAGAAAAGGAAATTTCTGGAGAGTCATAATCACCTATATCCTAAACGGACATGGCGTTTTTTTTGTTTTTTTTTTTCAATTTACATTACAAACTCTGACATAGGTTCATAAAACTTAAGTAAGCCATTTTCACGACTGGACATAGGCTTCGCTTTTATTTAAATAATCCTTTTTTTTTTAAATAATAAGTTTGTTTTTTCTAAACAAGCATTATTTTAAGTAATATTGGAAACACTGACATGAGTTCAGAAGAAATAGGCAGAGCCATTTTCCCGGTATTTAAGCACCGCGAGTATTTGAACTGTCGTATAAGAAGAAAAGATTTCGGGGCTTTAATCAATAAACATTAACTTTATCTTTTCCAACGAACATGATAAATTTTTCAGGTGATGCAGAAAGATCTTGGTATATATATATATATATATATATATATATATATATATATATATATATATATATGTTTATGTGTCAGAATCACAGGCCACTCGTATCTGACGATGCTGGTTTACTAAAGCAGCTACCCAATTCATGTTGCAGAGGCTTGCTCAGGTGCATTTTGTGTTTGTTCAAGCGATCCAACCTGTGGTTTAATACTGTAACTATAGTGAGCACACCTTAGTTACAGTTTCTGGGAGATAGCCTGTTATCTGGTGTGATCAACTGTCTGAACAAGGCCAGCACGGTCAAGCACTCGGTTACGATGACTTATCACATCGTGCTAGCACAACCATCGATGACTCCCAAAGAGTTCCGTTTGGCCAGTTTCATTCAAAAGGCTTGGGTCAAAACGGTGTTATGCTTTTCTAAAGGTGCCGGTCACTGGGAGCGCCTCTCCCAGACTGCTAACATCAAGTTACCTCCCTGATAAAATCTCTCTCTCTCTATATATATATATATATATATATATATATATATATATATATATATATATATATATAGATAGATAGATAGATAGATAATAAGACGGAGACTTTAATTATCCATTTCGTTT